TTTCTTTTTATCTTGGCTGGATAAAAAGTAAAAAAACAATTTTTACCTCCTTATGCATGCTGCTGCGTGGTCACTATTGTGTGTATTTTTTTGAATGTTTTATTTATTTAAGTAATCTCTGCGCCCACATGGGGCTCAAACTCACGGCCCCAGGATCAAGCCGACCAAGCCAGCCAGGAGCTCCACCATTGCCTGTATTTTAATTTCTCAGTTCAGTCATGATCAATACCAAAATGGCCTTAATGTTCTAGTTCTCAGCTGGACTAATCTTAAAATGAGCTCTTAACCTCCCTTTTCTTAGACTACTTTGTTTAAGAAACTTGTAGTTGTAAATTCTTTCTCTTTACAGCCCATGAGGGTCATTTTCAGGGCCCTGGGAGCCAATGTCTTTGAAATGTAAACATCACAGGAGATGGGGTCCTCATCTCCCAGTCTCTGTAGGTGGGTAGGAGCCTATGTTTTTCAAAGAGACCACAGAGTGGAAGGCTTCAACAACAGAAACATTTCCCATACTTCTGGAGGTTGCAAGTCCATGATCAAGGTGCTGGCAGGTTTGGTCCCCCTGAGACCTCTCTCCTGGTCTCCCATATGGCTGCCTTCTTGCTGTGTCCTCCACAGGGCCTTTGCTCTGTGTGCACCCACTTTTGATTTCCCTTATCCTTCATATAAGACACCAGACCTATTGGATTAGGGCCCCACTCTTATGGCCTCATTCATTCTTAGGTACCTCCTGAAAGGCCCTGTCTTCAAATACCCTTACCCTGGGGCTTAGGGCTTCAACCTATGACTTTGTCATAGACTCTGTCCATAACAGAGACTAACTTTGATGGGAGCTAATTAACAAACATAGATGGTCTAATTATAGACAAAAACATTTGCATCCTCAGAAAGTAACTCGACACATCCTGTTGATCAGCCCCCAGTACTTTTCTACCATCCCCCCTACCTCTTAAAATGCCCCTGTCCTTTGTTTCAGTGGAGTGGAGTTCAGGCTGAGTTCTGGCCTCCTTCCTCTATTACAATAGCCTTTAATAAAGTCTTCCTTTTCTGTTCATTGTTGTCTAGTGCAAATTTTGCTTTGATAATAGATGTACATGGGTTATCTTTCCTGTTAACATCCATGATGTTTCTACATTTCAAAACCATGTCATCCTTGTATAAGCTATCATGTTTGTTATGCATGGTTGTGCTTTTATTTAGCAGAAATTACCTGTTCCTTCAGAGCTCTAAGGAATTGTATTATGTTGGTGCCAGAGTAATTTTAGTAGTATATTGTGTGTGCTTCCCCCTCCCCAATGTTTATAAGATAATTCTAAACATACAGAAAAATTGGTAGAATTTTATAGTGAACACCAAAATACAGATCCCCTACAACTCGACAGTTAACAGTTCACTATACATGCTTTATCACATCTTATCCATCTGCGCACCCTTCCCTTCTTTCACCAATGGACCCTATTTTTGATGCATTTCAAAGTGGCAGATAATACAAAATTTGCCCCAAATGTTTCAGCATGCATATCAGTAACTAAAATTCTTGTCTGCCTTTGAATCTACTCTCAGTTTCTCCATGACATCTTGAACTTCTGAAGAGCAGGGTCTGTCTCTGTCATCCTCGTGAAAAATCTTCACTTCCTAGATCATTCTCTAACATGTAGGTATTAATATTTAGCAAATGAATGTTGCCAAATTTCCTTTAACGGAATATATAAAGTCTTTAGCGTTAACATTTAAATGTTAAGGTTTAAAATTCAATTACCCCTAGTAGCAGTGAAGACATATTGGTTTCTATTCTCACTAAGAAGTAAATGGCCACTATTAGATTCACTCCCCCTTCCCCCAACGTAAGTGTTATAGGAGGGAGAGCTTTGGTCTGCTGAAGGGAATCAGGAATCAAAATAGACTTTCATTGCTCTCTCATTTTTAAAAAAATTTTTTTAAGCTTATTTATTTTTGAGAGAGGGAGAGAGAGAGTGTGAGCAGAGAGAGAGGGAGACATAGAATCTGAAGCAGGCTCCAGGCTCTGCGTTGTCAGCCCAGAGCCCGATGCAGGGCTTGAACTCACGAACTGTGAGATCATGACCCGAGGCGAAGCCAGACGCTTAACCAAATGAGCCACTCAGGTGCCCCATCATTGCTCTCTCATTTTTATTAGTGATAGTCCTGTTCAGAACTATCATCTCCAAAATGTTTTCGGGGTAAGGTATATTGACCAGGTTCCCTTCTCATTTTTGGAGAACTACAGGAATTGCGGCTCTGAACTCAGCCAGAATGTAGCAAACAAGTGTGCAAAAGTCAGAAGAGGGAGTTATATGCTACATGGGATTAGATTTGGGCATGAAACAATAGTGAGAGAAGGTAAGGCCAGAGTTTATTTCACTATGTGAAATAGGAGTGTGGAGGTTGCCCTGGCTCTGAAGATTCATCATAGAGACAAGGATCTAGACTCTTTCTGTTTTGTCCCATTATCCTCAGTTTGGTTTTCTTTTTAATTAATTAATTAGGGGAGACAGAGAGAGAGAGAGAGAGAGAGAGCATGAGCAGGTGAGGGGCAGAGAGAGAGGAAGACAGAGAACCCCAAGCAGGCTCTGCCTAGTCAGTGCACAGAGCCCCATGCAAGGCTTGATCCCATGAACCACGAGAGCATGACCTGAGGCAGAATCAAGAGTTGGATGCTTAACCGACTGATCCACCCAGGTGCCCCTCACCTTGCTTTTCATGTCACATTCCCAGATGGCTACTTGACTTTAAGCCATCTTGTCTATATTCCAGCCAGCCAGAAGGAGAGAAAGGAAGGGGGACAGGACTTACTTACATCAGGTGTCTTTTGGAGGATTTCTCACAATACTTTTTTTTTTTTTTTTTTAGGTCTTTGATGAGAGCCTGGTTAGATGACTACATCTGTGTACAGGAAATCTTGGGGAAGCAGGGTGTGAATCATGCAAGCTCCAAAGTCTAGCCACAAACCCGAGTTGTTATAATCAAGAAAGTGTGGAAGCCAGATAATGGGTGGACACCAGTGCTTTACTTTTTTTTTCTTTTTTTCCAGAGGTAAGGTCTAGGCACTTGTTTATTTCAGGTCCAGAGCAGAGAGAGTCGCAGGGTACTAGAAGTCAAATATCTTTGAGAATAAAGTTAGGGAAACAATGAGTCCAATCTTAGTTTCTGGCATTGGAGGAATTGTAGAGTTATGGAGATGAGATCTTCAGATGGTTGGGAGGGTCAAGAGAGGAGGCTGCTTCTCAGCCCTGAGAGGTACATTTGGAGTACGCCATTTTGGGGTGCTGGGTTATTCTACCCACAAAAGATAAAGTGCCACACACCTGCAGCTTCCTTAGTTCTTTGGAGGCAGTGCAAGAACTCCTTTGGCTTTTAGAGAGCTGGAGGCAGACTTGTTCTGCCTGGGGTAAAAACAGGACCAAAAGGAATCAGTGAAACTTATGATAGGCAGGTTATCATCAATCATTAACATCAACAGTTAACTACAACATAGTCATCATAATAAAATATTAAATAATGTTGGAATATTGCCTTCAAGTTTCCTGAGCCTTTCCAATTTGATCTTCACAGTTCTGTGTAGACACAATCCCCTCTTGCTGGCTTCTGCGATTATGGAAGGGACGTTGTGTGGAATGTGGCCAGGCTTCTGTGCTCTGCAGAGGAGGGGGAAGGTAAGCCAACGGAGGACAGTACATCAGCGCATTTACTCTATAGCCAGGCCTTCCAGTGCCTGCTCGCTGGTTCTCACACTGGTGTGCATCTTTGTACTGACTCCTGCTCATCCCTTTGTCTAGATGAATTTTCTATCTGAACAAGTGGTCAAATTGCTTCAGGACTCAGATAATGTCATCTTCCATCAAGTTTTCCCAACCATTTCTGATGGAAGTAGTTTCCTCTATCCTATGTTCTAAAAGTTCTGACTGCTACAAGAATACCATTCAGTGTTGTAGGCAGGTGTACATCTCTATGGCTCTCACACGGGGTTGATTAGTTCTCTTTGGAAAGGGCATTTACTTGTTTGCCTTGACTTTCTAGGAGAAGAATTACACATCCTAGATGTTCAGTGAATGTGTGAGGAACTAATGTATTGAATTATTTTGTAGGAAGTAGGTGCTGAGGGTAGCATCTTCTTGCTGTTAGAGATTCGGCAAAAGCATTCACTTTATGTCTTTCAGGCCTACAATCCTCCATGGCCCTAACCACATCTCCCTTCTCCTGAGACCTCTCCCATCCTTCCCTACTGAGTCTCCTCTTGATCTGTAACTAACAAGGTATATAAGAGTTCCTGCTCTTCCCTTAGAATTCTCATGTCTTGGGTCAACCCTGGCTCTGAATGGGAGAGAAGAACCCTGGTCCTTCCCTTCTCCTTGGAGCCCTTACTGGCAGCTTCCTCAGATGCGACAAGGTTCCGCTGACAGTTTCTTCAAAGTTCTGCAGGCTTTCCCTGACTCTTATCTAAATGTCTTCCCAGCTTTCACCTGCTGCCCACTTCCAAAGCCACCCGCACATTTTGTTACACTTCTAGGTACAAAAGTCTGTTATAATTGCCTGTTGTGACTTAACAGATTGCCCCCAAATTTAGTGGCTTACAATTCCAATAATCATTTATTGTCTTACATAGTTTCTGTGGGTTGAGAATTCAGGAAAAGGATAGCTGGCAGGTTCTGGCTCAGGGGCCCCCATGAGGCTGCGGTCCAAATGTTAACTGGAGTTGCAGTGATCAGAGGGTTTGACTGGGGCGGTGGCATCTCCTTCCAAGCTGGATCACTCCTATGACTGTTGGCAGGAGGCCTCAGCTTCTCATCACAAGGAATTCACTATAGAACTACTAGAGTGTTCTTAAGACATGACAGCTGGCTTCCCCTAGAGTGAGAGAACCAAAAGAGAATGGTGGACACTTCAATGTCCTCTGTGATCTAGGCTTGGAAGTCATGTTTTAGTATTTCCATTATATCCTGAAAGTTGCAATGTCATCCCTGTTCAATGTGGGAGGAGATTACACAGGACCATGTACACCAGGAGGCAAGAATCACTGAGAGCCATTTTGTAGGCAGACTCCACCATTCCTTTACTGGGATCATCCTTGTCTTCGAGGGACTGGCCCTGTGGTCAGAGGGGGACAGGACACAGCAGGAGCAGGGGTCAGAATCCAGAAAGAAAGCTTAAAATAGCAGTCATTTGGAGTGGGATTGGGATTGAGGAAAATATAAAGAAATATTTTTTTCCATGTACCCTGAACTGGTAGGGTAACATAGAGGCTCAATAGAGACTGCTTTAAATAATCACTCTAAGAGCTAACAATTACCATCCGTCGGATAAAAGAGAACTGCCTCTGGTCAGGAGAGAAAGAGGAAGTGAAACAATGACTGCCAGTTGTTTGCCAGTGTTTGCCAGTTGTTATTATTAAGATGAGCTGAGGTCACTGTTCTTCACATCATCCTCAGGTCTTCAGTGGAGAAACAGTGTTTGTTGAAAGGCCTAGGGAAACTCCACTTGGGGCTTGACTCTTTCCAGTCTCTGCACACCTGAGACCTTCCCTCAGCTTCAGAGTTGGAGAATACCACAATTCAATCTCCTCACAATTCCTGAGCTTCCCTTCATGGCAACCAGTGTATTTGACCCTGCGTTTGTTCCAAAACAAAATGCCCCAAATGAACAAATACATTTACTTTGTATTAGTAGGATGTCCTTTGTTCTAAAAAATGTAAAGAAACTGATATATCTGCTGAGGGAGACAGTACAACTTGTGAAATCACACTGGTTAGAGACTTTAAGATGCAAAAGAAGGCATGCTTGATTCTCTCCAGGAGGGTATGAAGACTTCATGCGAGGTGAATGCTGGGGACAAATAACATTTAAGCAGGTGGGAAAATGGGGAAAGTGATTTCTGGGGAAAAGAGATGATCACACACTACATAGCTTAGGGGCAACTATGATCTGAAAATCCTGAATAAGATCGGGATGCCTGGACCTTGATTTTTTTAAAATGTTTTTTAAATTTTATTTCTAGGAGAGAGAGAGAGACAGCGTGAGCAGGGGAGGGTCAGAGAGAGAGGGAGTCACAGACTGAAACAGGCTCCAGCCTGTGAGTTGGCAGCCAGCACAGAGCCCGACGCGGGGCTCGAACCCATGAACCGCGAGATCATGACCTAAGCGAAAGTTGGATGCTTAACCGACTAAGCCACCCAGGCGCCCCTGCCTGGACCTTGATTTATTATGGAAGAAGATCTTACGGAGAAGTAAGGTATCAGAAGGATAGGTGGGAGATACCTAGGGTCATAGATGCTGCACACAGAAAAGTCCACAAATCATCCCAACAATAATCCATCCATCCATTTCTGCATTTCCTAACATATATTTCCTCTCCTTCCACCCCAACACAGGACAAAAGGAGTAGTTACTAGTTTTTAGTGGGGTGCAGGATAAGAGAATATGCTGTGACAGACCCAAGGTGCTGTACAAGCTGATTGACCATCAGACATATATTCCAGGGGATTTCATGGTGCGGGAAGTATCAGTGGCAGATAAGGATGTTGATTTTTTTTTTTCATTTTTCACATTGGAACAGGTTTTATTTAGATTAAGTTTTTAAGTTAATTAAAACATTTTTGATGTAACTATAAATTATGTGTATAAATTCATATACAGTTGTTAGAAATAATATAGAGGAATCCCAGGTATTCTTTTTCTAGTGTCTCCCAAAGGTAACAGATTACAAATACTACGGTGCAATATCACAACCAGGATATTGACTCTGATACAATCCACATCTTATTACAATTAAGGGTGATATTTGGAGCTTTGGCAAACCTCTATAGGGAGGTCACAGTGTAGGCCTTTAGGATTTGGAGCAAAGCCCTGCCCTCACCCACAGATAACTACCCTTCTTTTGAAAAACAAATCTCGGCCTGTGCTGGGCCTTAATGGAGACTTGACTACTTGACCATGGACCACCAAATCACCATGTGACCCGAACTGCCCATCATCAACTTGGTATTTTCTGTCCCATCAAACCATAAAGTTGGGCATGCACAGCGGCACTCCATCATCCAATGGAAGACGTATGTGCATGATTTGGCCTGGTCAGTCCTGAAGGCACAAGCAAGTTATGTGAAGAAGTTGCCTGAATGCCTATGGTCCCCACTCCTGCTACACTGCCTTCTCTCTTCTAGTCTATATCGATGGGGAGTTCCCTATTGTCAGTTGACAGAGGAAGAGGAGACATGAGCCTGAGGCATTGGGGTGCCTGGGTGGCTCAGTCGGTTAAGCATCTGACTCTTGATTTCTGCTCAGGTCATAATCTCACAGTTTGTGAGATCCAGTCCTGCGTGGAGGTCCTTCTCCCTGACAGTGTGCAGCCTGCTTGGGATTCTCTCTCCTTCTCTCTCTGCCCCTCTGTCCAACTGTTTTGCCTCCACAATCACTGTGTTCTGTGAGCTACAGGGATGGACAGCTTTCTGTGGGTCAGGCTCCTGGCTGCATTCCAGTGTCTAGGATCATTTCAGAAGCCTCCCTGCTTCTGACAGTTGCGCGCCTGTACCTCAAATCTATTCTATCAGGATTTCCCGCCCCCAATACTCCTGGGAGCCTGATTCTGCAACATCGTCCTGTACCGCCAAGCTCTGCCTTCAAAGATGGCCGTTAGAGGCTTCTTCTTCTTCTTCTTTTTTTTTTAGTTAATTTAATTACTTTGAGAGAGAGAGAGATCAAGTGGAGGAGGGGCAGAGAGAGAGAAGAGAGACAACCCTCAGTTCTCTGTATTTGTACTTAAGAGTCTCTTATGGTTTGCCTCTGTCTCTGTTTTTACCTTATTTTTCCTTCCCTTCCCTTATGTTCATCTGTTATGGTTATTAAAGTCCACATATGCATGAAATCATATGATATTTATCTTTGTCTGAGTTATTTTGCTTACGATAATATACTCTAGTTTATTTCATGTGGCTGTAAATGGCAAGGTTTCGTTTTTTTTGATCACCAAGTAATATTCCATCGTGTATGTATATCATATTTCTTTATCCATTTGTCAGTTGATTGACACTTGGGCACATGCCATAATATGGCATTTTGTTGATAGTGCTGCTATAAACATTGGGGCACATGTGCCCCTTCGAATCAGCGTGTTGGTATCCTTTGGATAAATACCTAACAGTGCAACTACTGGATCATAAGGTAGTCTTATTTTTAATTTTTTGAGGAACCTCCATACTGTGTTCCAGAGTGGCTGCACCAGTGTGAAGTCCCAGCAACAGTGTAAAGACTATGCCTTTCTCCACACCCTCACCTGTATCTGTTGTTTCCTGAGTTGTTCATTTTCGCCTTTCTGAGCAGAATGAGGTGATATCTCACTGAGGTTTCGATTTGTATTTCCCTAATGATGAGTGTTGTTGAGTATCTTTTCGTGTGTATGTTGACCATCTGGATGGCTTCCATGGAGAAGTGTCTATTCACGTCTTTTACCCATTTATTCACTGGAGTTTTTGTTTTTTTGGGTGATGAGTTTGATAAGTTCTTTTTGTCTGTCTACACCTCATACTGGTTCTGTTTGTCTGGGAGCTCTGACTGAAACAGGAGGGTAAGGAAGACTTAATGGCAGGTGGTATTAGTGCCCCACTTCCCTGAGTGACAGGCTGTTGGCCCATGCAATCCAGAAACCTGACAGAGGAATGTGCCAGAACAGAAAGCCTGGATATACGATAGTGAGGAACTTAGGGTACTGAGGGGAAGACTTTTCAGGAGGTGAAATGGGATGGAGGCTGTAAGGGAAATCCGTTAGCAGCCATGAGTTCGAGCAGGAAAGCCATTGGGCACACACACACACACACGCACGCGTGCGCATGCACACACATACGTGCATGTGCACACACACACCCACTCCAGCCCCCCTCCCCCACGGCTTGGAGCGGGGACCTCATTGCCAAAGAGCTGCTGCTGTCGCCTCCCCTCCCCTGCACAGAAGTGAGTGTCGGGCTCGGTAGACACCAGGGTGCACAGCCCGGATTCCAGGCCTCAGCTGCTCTCGTCTCCACGAGGCCTGGGGGGGACACGCTGAGGGGATAGAGGCTAAAGAAGCTGCCAATGGCCGGAGCCCCAGGTCAGAAGGGAACAAAGAGGGAGGACCTGCCTTGAAAAAAAATGACCAAATTTACCCTTTACATAAAATTTGGAAATGTAAGTATTTCTTAAATTTCCATTTTCTGTACCTATAAACATTTTTGAAAGAGGCCTGAACTCTAAAGAAGTTGTGAGTCTTGTACCGAATGCTGGTCTTCCTGAACCGTATGACAGTGAGCGGTCACACCAATGTCCTCCCAGTTTTCGTGATGTCCCCTGATGCCACACACGTAAGTATGCATCTCCCCCCAGCCAGGACACTCTCCCAGGTCAGCACAGGATCACCGGGTCACAGCTCCTGACCACCACCTCGTCCTCAGGCTCTGCTTCAGGTCGTCCCATCAATGCCCATCGTGGTCACAGACATGGATGGACATAGGTGTCTCCCATTTCCTGGTTGAGCTCACAGTGGGGATTGCAGAGGTTTATGTGCCTTTTTGGTAGATTTGTTTAATTTTTAATTAGGTAGAGATTTAGATTTATGAGGCCACTGTCATGTATGTCAGCCCGAAGTCCTCAACTATACGTTTGAAAACTGTGTTCATCTGGTGTTCTGGTCCATCTCTCTATCATTTTGGAAAATACTTCAGATTGTTTAGTCTTTAGAGGGAAACAAATCTCTTAACATGTTGCAGATGTCGTACTTCATTTGGTAATGATATTGCTAATGTGTTGCTATGACACACAACACCACATAAATAACCGTACATCTACATGTTTTCTGGGCTGGACCAAACACTGGGATTGCCAAGCAGTAGGCTGAACATCAACTCCTGTCTGGATATGGTGAGACAAAGGGCAAATGAGTGATTCAATTTAGACTCCTATTAACACATAAGGAAACTCCTCTTATTCTATTTCCTGACCGCCACATGCTATTGATGTATTTAAAATACAACATGTATTTAAACACAAGTTGTCTGTACTTCAAGCTGTGTTACAAACCTATAATCATCTAGCCAGCATGGCACTGGCACAAAAACAATCAGATCAATGGAATAGAAAAGAGAACCCAGAAATGGACCCACAAACATATGGCCAACTCATCTTCGACAAAGCAGGAAAGAATATCCAATGGAATAATGACTGAGTCTCTTCAGCAAGTGGTGCTGGGGAAACTGGACAGTGACATGCAGAAAAATGAACCTGGACCACTTTCTCACACAATACACAAAAGTAAACTCAAAATAGATGAAAGACCTAAACGTAAGACAGGAAGGCATCAAAATCCTTGAGGGAAAGCAGGCAAAAACCTCTTTGACCTTGGCTGCAGCAACTTCTTACTCAACACATCTCCAGAGGCAAGGGAAACAAAAGCAAGAATGAACTATTGGGACCTCATCAAAAGAAAAGGCTTTTGCAACAGGGAAGGAAAGAATCTGCAAAACGAAAAGCCAACCAACGGAATGGGAGAAGATATTTGCAAATGACATATGAGATAAAGGGGTCAGTATCCAAAATCTATAAAGAACTTATCAAACTCAACACCCAAAAAACAAATAATATGAGATACCATCTCACCCCCATCAGAATGGCTAACATTAATGGCTCAGGTGACAACAGATGTTGGTGAGGATGTGGAGAGAGAGGATCTCTTTTGCACTGCTGGTGGGAATGCAAACCGTTTGCAAACTCTGGAAAACAGTATAGAGGTTCCTCAAAAAATGAAAAATAGAACTACCCTACAACCCAGGAATTGCACTACTAGGTATTTATCCAAAAGATACAGATGTGCTGTCTCGAAGGGGCACATGCACCCCAATGTTTATAACAGCACTATCAACACTAGCCAAAGTATGGGAAGAGCCCAAATGTCCACCCATGGATGAATGGATAAAGAAGATGTGGTATATATGTACACACACACACACACACACACACACACAAACACAATGGAGTATTACTTGGCAATCAAAAGGAATGAAATTTTGCCATTTGCAACTACATGGATGGAACTGGAGGGTATTATACTAAGCAAAATTAGTCAGTCAGAGAAAGACAAATATTATATGATTTCACTCATGTGAGGACATTAAGACATGGAACAGATGAACACAGGGAAGGGAAGCAAATATAATATAAAAACAGGAATGGGGGCAAAACATAAGAGACTCAAATATGGGAGAGAAACAGAGAGTTGCTGGAGGCGGTGTGGGAGGGGGGATGGGCTATATGAGTGAGGGGCAGTAAGGAATCTACTCCTGAAATCAGTGTTGCACTATATGCTAACTTGGCTGTAAAGGTAAAACAAAATGTTGTCAAAAAGTAAATCAATAATAATACAAAATTTTGTCAGTTTGATGCGAATGTGAGGGCATCCCATCATTATTAGTTATATTGATTACTGAGGATATGTTTAGGATTTCATAGGCTTATTTATCATCTGGAACTTGCTCTAAGCTTTTGTATAAGTCTTAGAATGACTTCTTTATTTGTAGGAGCTCTTTATATACACTGGATACCAATCCTTTATTCATGGCAGATTAACTTAATTTTTAGATGCAGATTTGTTTCTGCCAGGAAGATTCAATGTGCACTGAAAGAGGCGAGTCGGTGGGGGGAGATGACAGGAAGGTCATTACTTCCTTCTCAAAATATTTGTTTGTGTTGGGCATGTTAGATTTGCATTGTTTGCACTGAGACTGACAGATGACTGCTTGAAAGTTGATTTAAGAGTGATCCTTACATTCTCTGTTTCCACAAGAAATCTAGCAGAATCACCAGTTATATTTACCCTACGACATGGAAGAAGAGCAAAACTTCAGGAGCTCTTTCTGGGAAAAAACACAAATTCCAAATTAATTCACATTTTTATAACACAGGTATTTTATTTAAATATCTTTACATAGAAATAAATCACTGAAAAAAACACTGACATGTACTTTATTCTGTTTAAAACACAATGAGGCTGTTGTTGTTAAGACACAGAAAAACATCCCTGAGTTTCTGTAGTGTCAACTGGGCACTACATTTTGGCACCCCTGTCTGCAAGAACAAGATCAAGGTGCATAGAAGAATCTGATATTTCACAACCAAAGGACAAGATGGGAAATGTTCTCTTTGTTGAGATTCCTTGTTCAAGCATTTAAATACTTCAGTGCAAGAATCCCATCACTTTGGGGCTCCTGGGTGGCTCAGGCAGTTAAGTGTTCGACTCTGGCTCAGGTCATGATTTCAGGGTTCGTGGGTTCCAGCCCAACGTTGTCGGGCTCTCTGCTATTAGCATGGAGCCAGCTTCAGATCGTCTCTCTATGCTCCTCCCCCATGTGTTCTCTCTTACAAGTGTAAATAAACATTAGAAAAAAACTAAAGAATTATATCACTTATCATCAAATGAAAATTCCATAACATACTAGGAAAAAGTGCATCAAATTCATGAACAGACATGGGATGTTACATGTGTGGCCCCATGTGGTCTGACTGACTTCTCTGGAATCTTAAGGTCTGGACCAAAAACGAACAGCAGGGGATCCAAAGGCAGCCTAGCAAAAGGCAGAGTCTCTGAGCTGGTCCACACTCTTGGGAGCTTAATGGTGGCACCGCCAGCCTTGAGAAGAGAACAGGTGTTGGTGTCAGTGGCTGAGGAAATCCCGGGCCTGTTGTCCTGGGGCTGCCCTTCCCCACTTACCCCTGTACCCAGAGCCCAGCCCTCACTGAGGGACATGAATTTCCCCCCAGCCATGTCCCCAGCCCTGGGTCCAGGTGCTTTACAAGGTCCTCCCTCCTGAAACAAATCACGGAGTCATCCCCAGGCCCTGTTACCAAGGACTTGGGCTCAGGACTAAAGCAAGTAACAAGTTATTGTGTCCACTTGACTCAAATTCATTCTCCCTCCGATGGGCAGCCCTAAAGGACCTGGTGAGGGATCTGACAGAAGACAAGGGCTTGACTTGATAGCTCTAACCTTGGACGACTTTTCAGGCAAATATCCTTTCATTTCTCTTCCCTCTCAGCCTCCTAGCTAGCAACACCCAGAGCGCTTGGTATGATGCTCCTTCCCCCATCCCCCCCACTCCTGTCCTGCTCAGCTGTGAGCACACACAGCAACTCAGCTCCCCACCCATCTCCTGGAGCAGCTCTGCTCCCCCATCTCCCAGGTCAGCTCACTGCCCCCCACCCCATCTCCCATGTCAGACCAGCTCTCCCCACCATTGTCCAGGTCAGCTCTGCTCCCCCCACCCCCATCTCACAGACAATCTCTGCTCCCTCCATCTCCCAGGTCAGTTCATTACCCCACCCCATCTCCCAGGTCAGCTCTGCTCCCCCCATTCTCGTGGATCTGAGGTCTGCGGGAGGCTAGCTGCCAGTGACTGCACCAGCCTGAGGCAGATCCCACTCTTCTACATCTTGTCGTGCACAGGCTCTACTGTTCACCTTCTGCCTTACATGCTATGACCCAAGCCACTTTCTGGGGGAACATGGCACTAAAGTCCAGCCTGGTGAGCTGTATTGCAAAGGCCTTCCGACTCCCCCCCCCCCGGGATTAGACGCAGCTACCTCTCCTCTTAAGCCCCTGGATGGAGTTCCTTTCCTCTTAGACATCACGTGGAGCCACCAAGCTCCTCTTGCTCAAATGTGAGTACTGCCCGTGCTGTGTGGCCCTCTCTCCACATACACCCACACCGGGGTTCAAGTTGACTCTCTTCAATCTAGAATCCGGTCTGGGTCAGGCCTGACCTCGCTAGACCCCCTTAGCATCAGCAGGCCTCATGCACTGTTGTGGGCCTTCCCCTTTCCCAGAGGCCTTAACAGTGAGGCCTTATCAGAACTCAGGGCTCAGCTTGTCCACGTTAGTGCTAACAAGTGACAGGAGATCTCATCAACGGGTGTCATTTCTGTGATGAGAAGGTTCAGTGAGTAGGCAGTGGTTGGGCTGGGGATTCCCCTTTCCCTGGGGACACATGCCCATCTCTTCCCTCTCTGTCTCCTCTCAGTACCTCTCACTCTAAAATATTCTACCTACAGTGCCAATTATGATGATGCAGCTGAGAATCATGGAGAGGATCCAGATGATGGGTCTGAAGGCCGTGGCCCTGGACAGGGCTGGGACTTGCTGCATGACTGGCAGTGCTGAAAGAGAAACACAGGAGTGAGAGCCTTGCTCCAGACCCCAGATCTGAAGACATACCAGCCCCGCTCCTCCTGCCACAGAGAATCCTACAATGCAGATGGTTTCTGTGACTCTACGTTGTGGCAGCTACTGTGACAGGTTCTGGGCTGGAAAACGAGGGAAGACACGGATGGGACCTCTCCCAATGGAGCTCGCACATGTAAAGGCAGAAGCAAGAGTTACAACATAACTGGTCCCTCCTGCGATGGCAGAAGAGGTGGTGATGGAGGATGAAGAAGGTGACAGTTGACCACCTCTCAGGAGCTAACTGTTGAGCTGGCCCTGAATGATTCCCAGCAAGAGACAAGATGACATGAAAAACTCAATGATTCTCAGAAAAGGGAACAGGGAGAAGCAAATCTCTGGAAACAGACTGACGCCCTCATGTTTGGGGCCAGCACAGAATACGAGTAATACCTGAGACTGAAGGTAATTACGGGCAGCGAGGAAGAGATTTCAGGAGATGAGAGGGGAAAAGAAGGACACTAGAACGTGCCTATGGTGCATTAATTTCCTGAAAAAGAAATTGACCATGCATGGATCACTTTTTCTCTCTCTCTCTCTAACTGTCGGTCTCTCTGTCTCTGTCTCTGTATTTCTCTCTCTCTACTCTCTCCCACACAGACACACATTACGGTGGGGAAGGGAGGTTTGATTTCAAGAGAACCACCACTTCATCCAGTCTTATGAGTTACCTGATGTCTCCGGTATTTCATCCCAGTGCACCAATATTTGCTCAAGCCACTTCTTACAGTCTCCATTTGAGATCTTCATGAGGCAATTGGTCAAATCTCTGTCAGTGTCAAATGCGGCCCTTAGCTGTCGGCCTCTAGGATGAACTCTCCAATTTCCACTTGTCGAGTTAAAGAAGTAGGATATCTGTTCACTGGTGTGAAACTCCCAGGATCCGCTGGTGCGTCCATTGTCCCCACACTTACACACCATCGTGCCCTGCAGGGAGACAGAATCTGCACCCCCCCAACCCCACCGTGGGAATGAGGTCAGCCTCTGGGCTTGACCAATCCCTTGCCCCACGTGCTGTCCACTCCTCAGCTCCCATCACCCCTCCTGGTCCTGTTCTGTCCTCCATGTCTGCCCGGGATGCTGGGCCTCCTGTGTGGGACCCACGTCTACGTTTTACATGAACACGATAGCTCCCGGGCCCTACAAACTGTCTACTTCTGCCCCGGAACGTTCCGACTTACCGCTGTGAGGGAAATCCTCTGCTTTCATGTCAAGAAGTTTCTTTTTGAGCTCTTCTAGCAGGTCTTTCACAGTTTCTATCTGTCTCTCCCAGGACTCTGTGTCATTCAGCTTCATCCCCAGAGGACCAACGAGTTCGACCTTCTTGCTCCCACAGCCATAGGAAAGATACTTCTCTCCTCCATTGACCTTACCTCCAAACTCACACCATGATTGTCCAAATTTGGGCTTTGGTGTGATGGAGAATTCAAAGTAAAGAGAAAGACCATCTGCAAAGGATATGTAGGTGAAGGCTGGGGTTAGAAGAAAGACTCTTAGGCGTCCCTCTCCCATCCATGTGACAGCAATTGCATCTTTGCAGGCCTGGCCTAGCAGAGCAATGGCAGCCCCAGCATGGCCCCTCTCCCCTAGCAGTTAGAGGCTGGTGCTCTTCCCTTGTTGGAATAACACCAAAGACCAGATTCCACATTCCGTATCACCATGGATATGTCCCCTGTGTCTACCAGGCCAATACCCAACATCACTCAGTCTTCAGTGAATCCAGGCATGTACTATGGTGGCTATGGGAAGAAGAGGTCTGCATGCCCGCTGATTGTCAGGATCTATCCCAGTGTCCTCTAAGATGATAGAAATGGAGGGGGCCTGTTCCTGAGGAGCCGAGTCAGGGTGGGGGCAGGGTGAGTATAGATGCAAAGTCAGAGAAGAGAGAATGTACACTCCTGGGTCACAGGATTTAGCACAGACCTGGTGATGCTGATAATCTGCCATTAGGATGGGCCTTGGAGGCTTGGAAAACAGGACAGTCCACACGGCACACACTAGAACATCTGGAATTCCAAGACACTTAGTGGTAGAAGGGATTAAAAAAGCCCAAAGAAGTGCATATGACACAACAAATCTAGTAAGAAAGGCCAAAACAGAACAAAAAATATGCCAGTCAACTATGCTCATGCAGAGGTCTGGAGGACGCTCAGTGAAACTCGTCAAGAATGCATGGTCCCACTGAACCGGAGAACTACAGACCAATTTCCCTGATGAACACGGATGCACAAACTCTCCAACAAGACACTAGCCAACCAAATCCAACAACCCAGTAAAAGAATTATTCACCTGGATCAGGTCGGATTTATTCCTTGCCTGCAGGGCTGATTCAGTATCTGCAAATCAATCAATGGGATACATCACATTAATAAAAGAAAGGAGAAGAACCGAATGATCCTCTCAATAGGAGCAGGAAAACATTTGACAAGAAGCAGCATCCTTTCTTGATAAAAACCCTCAAGAAAGTAGGGATAGAAGGATCATGCCTCCAGATCATAAAGGCCATGTATGAAACACCCACCGACAATGTCATCTTCCATGGGGAAAGACCGAGAGCTTTCCCCCCAAGGTCAGGAACACCACAGGGATACCCACTCTCACCACTGTTGTTCAACATAGGG